TAATAAAGGTTTAACGTAAATTTGTTATCGATATGTATGTATATATAACTTTAATTATTTAAAAAAAAAAACATGATTTAGTGTAGTCTGAATTGAAATCCGAATTTGAAATGGTAAGAAAACAAAATATTGTAAATATTGATATAAAGTTAAATAGAAAATTAATTTGGGAATATATCAAAGTTAACAAGAATACAGTATGCAGTACATAAATTTATTATTTAGATTTTATTTAGATCAAATAAAACATTCAATTAAAAATTTAACAAGCAATAACGCACAGACAGCACTCCTACTTGTTTGACTAACTTTTCTAATTTGAAGATGACATATAACGTAAATTTAAAAGAAGTTAGATAGGAAACAAATAAGTAAAATTTAGAAAATATAGAAATATAGAAATATAGAAATAGACAGAAATAGACAGAAATAGACAATAGATATATAAGAAGACTTTTTAATAAGTTCGATAAAACCATATTTGTATATATTACAAACTATAGACCAAATACGCGCATATTAAATTAATTATTATAGGGAATATATATTATCATGCAAGCCAAAAGATCAAAAATCCTCGTGGACTTTAAAAAATCATGATTTTTTAATATCAGTACACCTCTTGGTCACACATCTTTAAACCAAGATAACGTATGTTAAAAAACGGAAATCATTTATCTCTATTGTTATTATTAATTAATTGTTAATCTAAAGAATATAAAGAATATACAAAAGTAATACAGTAGCATTGACTATAGATAGTACTGTAGTATACTGTAGTATACAGATCAAAACACCAACCAAACCAATGGACCGCAGTGAATAAGATTTTCGATTTACCAGAAAAGGAAATAAGATAGCATCAGCTGATAACTTTAAAGGCGCATTACTTTTACCAGTTTAAACATTCAAAGAAAGAATTTGGTATAAATATACTTATTTAACGGAGTATTGACACCGTGTAAAGTTTAAAAAAACTTTATTTAAATCTTTATCGCATCAGGGAATATCAGGGAATGTAAGTATACATTCAAGAACACACCAAGTTTCCATCTTTATAAAGTATCCGATGAGTTGGTTACAAAATTTGAAAGATTCAAAAAGTAAACTTCAATATGTATAAAATGTATAAAAAAAAAGTTCTTTTATCTCTTTTATGACAAGATAAAAGAGATATGATCGTCAAACGTAACACATTTTAATTATTTTAATTAATAAAAAAATTGTGTTGGCGCCAATTTCCTAAACATATCAATACATTCATTGTGTGATTAATGTTAAGAGACGCATTTGTTATCAAAAAAAAGGTCACTACGCTTTTTCAAGTAAGATTTATATGCTTGGTTTGTACTTATTAACACATATTTGTACTATATTCTTTTAGTCTTATTTGATCATTTATTATTTGTTATTCGTTCGTAAATGTATGTGTCTTAAATACGTACGTACGTGTCTCCCTGGATTTTTATATCATAAGACCGAACCAACGCATTTATAATGTCCATGCATGCTTTTTAATTAATTAATTACTGGTACTAGTGTATATTTTTAATTATCGCCATGATGATGATTCCTGTCAATCAATCCAAATGTATGCAATTTAACGTTAGAACAATGAATATTTTTTTTCGATCATTACAATTACTTTATGAATTTTTTTTTGTGCCAACCAATAAACCGAATTAACCGAATTATATAACGATAACGATAAATGCGCTAAATGCGATAAATGCAATAAATGTTAACAAAGCTTTTTAGATCATATGATATCACCCCATTATACCTACCTACTGTACTGTTATACTGTTATATACAATATTAATACTGTAATATATACTGTAATATAAATATATATAACAGTAATATCACGTGAAACACCGAATGCCTTATTCGTAGTTAATTCTATATTTAAAAACCAAAGGCTGATGAACATTCTAAAACCCGAAGTCTATTAACCTATTTAGCTGTCTCTACACCCAAATTCGGTGCTTATTTACAAATTATCCTGTTTGCGTTCCCACAACTGTAAACTTAAAATTTTTTTTTCATTATTGCGTTTTGCCGCCTTTGACTCGGATTGTTACAAACACAATGTACATCTAAAAGCTCGTTATTATAGTGTTATTATGCTGAATAAAGTGATAAATACTTGGTTTTTTGTTGGCTTTTTAACAATAAAAATTTTTGTTTGATAATACGTATTGATAAATAATTTTGAACTTGTTTGGATGTCCGCATAGTACGTAATAATTGTCAGTTTTGATCTGCAAAAACATGCGCAGTGAGTTTACAAATATTTTTTGTGGCATGTCTATTGGACAAAAATAGAAATTAGGCTCGTTATACTGTACTTTAATCAAATTTTTTACCCAAAACTATTTGCAAAATTGATACGTACGTATCGAAAATTTTCCGTGTATTAGTATTATATAAGTTGTGGTTGGCCGAATTGTGGTTCAAGTAGAATCTATTTTGATATTTCTAGTGACAAATTTTGAATTACCTTTACATATTTTTACGTGTTTCATAATTAAATAATTCGGATTTTACGTTTTTTTTTTTTCAGCCTTTATAATTTTCAGTTTATAATAATTTTCATAATAATAAAATTTTTTTTCAGCCTTTATAATTTTCAGTTTATAATTACATACATAATGAGCAGGTCCAAACTTTCAAAATGGTTGAGAACCGGCATTATAAAGCAAAATATGAAGAGTACACTTAAATCTACCATTAATTCATTACATGATACATGTCCATTTAAGGTTTCCTTTGAAATTATATTCAAATCACTTAACGACATTCTATGTAGCGACAAAGTTTTTCGTGAACAATCAAATGAATACACTAAATTGTTTGAGTGGTTTACAGAAAAAAATGATGAAAAAAATTTCCCTAAATGACCAAGGCCATATGCAGTATTTAAGAAACAAGTTTATTCATCCGTTTTTTTTGAATCAAAAGTAAAAGTGATCAATAATAATTACAATACTAAATGAAACTAAGAATTATCACCCCACCTGTCAAGCAGATTTTTTCCTTCAGTGATGAGGATCAAGATGCCATAATTGAGCCTCTTCTTAATTTGGTTGAAAATTCACTTAATGAGTTTCTTATCAAGAATCAACATATGATTCCTTTTGAGGTCATCAAGGGCTTTGCCTCCAAACAGTATTTACTTATAAATCCTAACTTTAGTAATGCTGACACTCTTAATATGCTTAACTTTATCATTGAAAATATAAACCTTTTTGATAAGTCAGTATTCCATAGTCAACATAAGTCAGCTCTCATTAATCTTTTCAAAAATTTTAAGAACAATGTTCGGTATAAAATGGCATATAGTATATTAATAGATCAAAAGGGTCGATGGAGCAATCACGCACTCCAAAATGTTACTATTCTTGCATGTGATGTCGTCACATATTTAGGTAAGTAAATTATATAATAATATTAATTTTGTATAAAAATATTATCTCATTATTTCTTTTGATACCAGGTGGCAACTATAAAGAGATTTATACTATAAAAGAAAGATTGGACAATAAAATTATTAAAAAATGGACGGACAACCCAACTTTAGAAGTCAAAAAAAAGAACTATTTCATTTGAAATATTTTGAAAGAGGTCAATGAAACAAAAAAGAAGTCCAAGCAAAAAATAATGAAGATGGCTTTAAGAGAAAATGAAGACTTAATCCAGATATGGAGAGTTGTTAAAACAACAGAGTGCAGAAAAAAGCAATCCTATGAATTTATTGATTTTGTGAACCTAACATTTGGCTTAGTGAGTATTAAATTTTGGATTTTTTGTGTATGATAAATCCTTATGTTAATCAATACACACTATATTTTATTTACAGGACTTAAAGTACATTGGTATCGAAGTGGAGCAATCAAAATTCTGCTCTGATTCACCTGAAGCAAAACAAGTTATGTAACTATAGTCGGCAGCATGGTGTGTGTGGAGTAAGTTTTCATGCAATTTTCACTTCCATGTAGGTCATGGTCGTGATTGCCACAACTTGTAACTTATAATAACTATATAGTTTGTTATAGGGATAAAAGTTTCGCTGGTGTTGCCTGAGAATACAAGGTATACCCTTAAGATGCAGCTTTTTTTAAACCAAGTTTATAAGAGTTATCAAGTTTCTTAATCTCACTAGACTCGATGGCTTAACGAGGGTAAACCAAGCTACTTACCCACATTAATTGCCTACTAACTATTCAGAGCTCATTGTTGTATATTGTTATATATTGTTATGTGAGTAGTTTCTAACAACCACTTTTTTTTAGGCCAACATATCAAAAATATGATAAGCAAGAAGATACTAAAGTTTACAGATAACATCGAAATAGAAAAAATTTATTGCTTGTATTGGGTCGTCTCTCATTTTATAATAATAGATTGTTTTACTAAACGATGGTCCTACAAAACAAGTAAATTGTAAAATGTCATTCTGTATAACATGCTTATAATATAATAAAATTTGGCTGAAAAGTGTGAACTGTATGGATGTATTGATAAACGTACGAGTAGCAATTACGGAACAATTGATATGTTCAAATTCATGAACATTTTTTTATTTGAATTCCTAATATATGTGGTAATATATTATTGAATATGTAAAAGTTAATACTAAACATGGGTCTAAACATTAAAAATCTTGAAATAGATAAAAATTTTCTTAATGTCCACTGAAAGAGTTCTTGAACCTAGATCATTTAGAGGGATTAATAAATTATAAAGAATATGCAATGCAAACTTGGTTTTATTAATGCTTTGAATAGACAACTAGCAAAAAGCTAATGTATTTATATTATTTGAATTAGATGAAAACCAAATCCATTTTCATTTTAACTGGTCAACTTTTCTATTTTTACTATTAAAAAAGTTATATTTTTGTTTGTATCTAGTATTTGTATATTGAAATGTAAGTCGCATAAGTTAACAGATAATACGTAATAGATAATGTAACAAAAAAACATATGCATTATACGTTTAAAATATATATCTGTAATTGGTTGATTGATAATTAGGTAGGTAATTTACCCATGATCATTAACCAATCAAATTACATAATTTCAAAGAATTTATCGTTCTAATACTATTAGAAAAATGAAAGAAAATGAAAAACTTTATATAAAAAATTTTACGAACCAACAAATAAATACAAATTATTTTATGACATATATTTAAAGAATGAATAGATATGCATAAAGATAATTATTATCAATAAACTTTATTAAAATTTACATAAATATTATCTAGAGCTTTAAATTTATCTCAATATACTATAAAAACCAACTGATTCTAAATATTAAACCCAGATCACTTGCTACTAAAAAGCCTATATTTATTCAAATTTAATTGTTATAAAAGTTTGTTTAAGCCAAATAAAAAAATTTCTAGTTCATTTACAGTGTAGCTTTGCACAATCAAATATTGTAAATAATAGTATATTTTGTCTTTTAGACAAGATCAACTAATAAAATATTCTTTAAATAACTATCTTAAAGTATAAATAGCACACTAAATAAAAAAAATTTTTATAGTTATTTGAAATCGGAAGAGTCTACGTTTTCAATAAAAATTTATTAACTATAAAAAATTCTTACTTTTTTATGTTGCATATAAGCAAACTATCTTTTTCTAGAGATTGGACCCGTTAAGCTTATCTGGATATCCATACAGTTAATCATGCTATAAATGTTTTACAGATGAAACCCATTATCTGCCGGTTTCCAAAGCCCATGGCTTTATGGGATGCATAAATGCTACCGTATATATCTTTTAGAAAAGTTAATTAATAGCAGGTTTTAGCAAGATATAATAAATCTATTTTATTGCCCCTGATTTATGAGTTGCTTTAAATTTTCATTTTCTAAAATCTTAAAATATCAACGAAGTGATCAGATGGCTTTATGAAGTCACATGTTTAATTTGTTATTTATGGGCTTTTGTGTACGGCCTTATGGTGTTTTGTTAGATACAACTATATTTTGGTTAATATTGTTATTGCTATGGTGCTGGAAGCCTATACTCAACAGTTACACAAAGTATTTCAATTTTTTAAATGGCTATAACTTTTTATCTAAGAGGTTTTAAAAAAATCCACCTGGTAACTTTATAGAGATATATCAGCTCTACATGTGTACCAAATATCTTTTCAAAATCTCATCACTGTAATGAGTTGATGCGTTTTGAAAATTGAAATTTTATATGTAAATTTATAAATTTACATATAAAATTTTCAATTTTTAAAACGCATCAACTCATTACAGTGATGAGATTTTGAAAAGATATTTGGTACACATGTAGAGCTGATATATCTCTATAAAGTTACTAGGTGGATTTTTTTAAAACCTCTTAAATAAAAAGTTATAGCCATTTAAAAAATTGAAACACTTTGTGTAACTGTTGAGTATAGGCTTCCAGCACCATATGTATAACTATTAGAGAACGGATAAGGGTAATCATATAGTACTAAGTATTTAAGAACTAGAGGAGGATATCTTTCTTTTCACTATTGTCTTGTAGTGAAGGTTGGCTTTATCATACTACCATCTTGCCTGTCTCTTAATAATTCAAAACTAAAGCAAATATATTTACAATTGCTTAGATAGCCTAGAATTTCACATTCAGAAATTGGACTTCGACTAACATACAGTAGGCAATGCAAAGACTTCAGTTTGGTGTTTAGGTTCTGCAGCTGCTATACAGTATGTAGTGTAAGAACCTCATGTTTTGATATATAGAGTTGTAGATAGTGCAAGAAACTATATCTTAGTTGCACTTACATCACCAAATAACTACATCAGCAAATTTATAAGGCCGTAATATTTCGTAATAATTTACGAAACGTAAAAAAGCTGTAATATTACGTAAGAAA